GCGCGCTCCTCGGAACTTTTAGATCGAGTTAGAAATCAGTGCTCTGACAAGTATTATGGTTATGATAGCTTGGAACATACCGATAGATGAGTAGAGCTGCGTTCTGCTCCGCAATATTGAGAATCAAATAGACATTTTTCTGTAGAGATTGAAACTCGGACAATAGCGTATCTCTAGATAATCTTCCTCTAGTATTCAATAATTTTGCCGTTTCCAATGATCGACGGATCCAATCCCAATTCTCAGACAGTTTGTCCCTCGTGATGCCTCTCATCGACCTGGAAGCCGTAATGAAATGATCAATAATAGCACTTTCTAATCCTTCGTTTCTGTCATCTCTCCCTGGGAGCCGGGGAGGGAGGACAATATGGTTAACCAACGATTCCATAACGGAATTCGTTGTCGCCATAGCGACTGAAAAGATTTGGTGTAGCTGTAGATCGAGTTATAAATTTGGAACAACGTGGAGAAGTAGTTGTTCCCACAGTCTAAGAAAGTGTGACGAAGTTGCTACACGAATGGAATCAAAAGAATCAAAAGACGAACTGAATTTTTGAAGGAATTGAGAGTTGAAGAGAAAAGAATTTTTGTAAGATGTAGGTGAAGTCTCAACGACCCCCGCCCCACTAGCGCGAAACCAACAACAACAAAATCTGCCTTGCACGGGACGGGTACCCCATATCACTTTTCAATCTTCCAATTAGAATTGAATAATCATATGTGTCGTTTGAGTAGCTAGGTACCCAGTACCTATCAATAAAAAGAGGCTTATATGGGAAACTTTGATTCGCACTTTACTGCTTCATTTCGTCTATCACGCCTTTCATCTTTGAAGAGGTTACTACCCACCTGATAAGTCTACCTCCTGGGTGAGAATCCATTCGAGTACGATATCACATATGCTCAATCATTCGAATCATTTTATGCATCCTCCCGCCAATCATAGCATATGCACCTACATGCGAGTATACGAATCGATTTTTATCTCTATTTGACGGATATCTGCCTATACCAATCTTCCACTGCCGCTTCGAGTTTGAAATTGACCAAAAGTTCTCAGAGAAGCAGAGACTACTGAGCAAAATGAAGTCATATTGTTATCCACAAGCTTGCGCTCAACGGCAGCCTTGCAAATATGACAGGCTATGCTTTTACCATGAGGGATCAAGAGATACCATTCAGATAACTTCATTCAGCCTATAGAAAAAACCACTTGGTTATCATCTATGACATTCAACTCTGAGATCAAGAAGAAGCAGTGGATACCTCACTAGATGTGATAGCTGAGACACCACCTTGCAGCATAGCATCTCTTTCCAACAAAAAAAGGAAAACCGCAAGAAACTCAGCCTACGATCATCGAATTATTACATCGATATATTTACTGTAACTCTCCCTACCAACCCGAAATGAACAACAAACAAACAACCTTGACATATGCGGCCTTCCTGCGATACGACACCGAGCTTAACCGAGCCACTTGAATGCATTAATGCCTTCTGCGGATATACATCACCAAGTATCTTCTCATTCGTTCATCCAACTTACAAACGAAACAGTCCTTGCTAAAACCAACATTGTGTTGGAGATAAGTCTATCAAACTTACCAATAAAGTAGCATTTGCCCTTCCAAATTCCTACAAACACAAGCCTAATCATCCACACTAGTACAGTGTCTTCATAGAGAAGGTTTATTGGACTTACCAATTAAGCCTTCAACATCTCACACGACATACATTACGAAATCAGTCTGTCAGTCATACCCTCTTTCTTTCCCCTTTTCCCTTTTCCCTTTATCTTAAGATTTTGCTTTTCCTCAACCCTAAAAATCACCCAATACGCAGTTGTTGACTTGGGAAGTACGCCAGCAAATACTGAATCGTATCGTCCATTGAACCCTCTTACTCCTCCCTCTTTTCTCGCCCCTTCCTTTTTCGACGTCAAACGTTGAAGAAAACATTAGTCATCAAATCAACCCACCCACCAGTGGGTGTACGGACTCACGGGACAGTACAAAAATGAACTTGTAAATATCTTTTGATATATTGAACCATTTATTTTAAAATTTGTTATATTTCTTGAATAAAGATAAAATAATCAAAATACAAATTCTGATATCAAACAATTGAAGAATGGATTTATTGAAAATATTGAAAATTGGGAAGTGTCCCGTCAGTCCATGCACCCACTGGTGACCTACTCTTTTAGGCGTAGCACAATCAAAACATCACCATCAACATTGCTCTGTATTTCGACCATATGCATACATCATCAATATTTAAAGGTAATTCAAATATGACGTTTTAGCAGGCTGTAATTTGCAATGAGGCCAAGTTCTCTGTGTGTATGTTCATAGCTACAGGAAGAGCAGACCATAAATTCTATGGTTTGTATTCTTGAAAAGATTTGATCATGTGTATGATTTCACTGTCTGGCATGTTGTGAATGCACTATCAATGAATTCAAAAATCGAAATTCCAATGAAAATCAATGCTGCGTCGAAACAAGCTGAATAAGAGTTCAAAAAGTATTCTTGACATATATTCACGAAATTCTCAGTAAAGTATGGTTAGAAACCTGCGGAGCAGAACGATGTGGCCGCCGAGCGTTTATGTAGAGTTGCGGGCTTTGATTTGCTATCCTATATACAATTTTCTATTACTCGGTCTATATTTTATGAAATTTGTTTCTCTTCCAAGGATATTTGAAGAGTCATCTCAAGCCAATTTTCAAATAGAATTACATTTTACCACCTTACACGCTGCTTTTCAACCTCTCAATCATCACTTCAACACCCCTTCGATCTGCATCTTCCTCTCCTCAGCTTGTCTCTTCCTAATTCTATCCCTCCATCTAATCACCTCCGCACCAGCCATGCCACCAATATATCCCGTGATATGCGATTGATAATCTAAGATTTGTTTGCCCGCAGCGCTGCTCGCTCTCCTCCAAGCTAAGACTTCCGACCCAAATAGCATCACTAGTGCTACCCACGAAGGAATCGATGGAGTGAGCCCAAAAAAGCTGATACCCTTATCTCTTTTATACCACAAATCTGCCGCCATAACACCACATACCGCACCGGAAGCACCAAGACCTGATGAGATAAACGCACTTTTCCATACCCATCCTGCCATTGAAGCAAAAGAGCACACAGCGCCTATCGAGAAATATAAGGCGAGGAAATTCGCGCGACCAACTTCATCATGAAGATCAACTCCAAAGATGGCAAGAAAAACCATATTTGGGAAAAAATGAGTGAAGGCTTGATGTGAAAAGACACCTCCAATCATTGATAATGCTCGAGGGTAGGCAGGGATGATCATAAAGTATTTGTTGAGCATTGTCCAACAAGGTGGCACACGCCAGAGGAAAAGTACCATAGTGTTAGCCAGGATGAGTGCAGAGACTGTGGCAACTGCGGGTGGAATTTCTGGAAACATGCGAGAGTCTCGGAGAGGGGGTATGTAGAAATGTGCCAATGTACATGAGAAACCCACTGTCAAAAGAACAACTAGAGCCGAAGGCCAAAGACGGGTGAAAGCAGAGAATTCGGGAATAACCTCAGGTACAGTTTCTTGAGCCTTTTTCTCAAAGTGTTTGAGCCATGGATGTTCACCTTTTCGACGAAGTTCTACTCGTGATCTTGGTTTGACGTGATCTAAAGTGCCAGTATTATATCGTATCTCATCTGCTTGGCTCAACTCTTCCTCCTTCTTCTTCTTTTCTAGAGCGGCAGCTTTTGCTTGATTGGCTTTCCTGATGGCATCTAATCCACTATCACCATATACACTTGTTTTCTCTTCTGCTGGCGCCTTCGAATCATTTGGCTTGTACATATTGAGATTGATTCTTCCCCCTCTCGTTACACCACCTCCAACATTAGGCACATATATCCCGATTCTTTTCGAGTCTGAAACGATTTCTCCCTCAATCTCTGCTAGTTCTTGTTCGGCTCGCAATGTTGCGTTCTCATCCTCATCGACTGGGACATTCTGTCTTAGCCATGCTAATGCGTTTTTCTGTGCAACTTCCTCCCAGTATGCTAAAGAACTAGGCTCGTCCGGGTCTGGTAGCGTTCCCGCTACTCTTCGTCCATGTATAACTCTCAAAAATCGTTCTGCCGAATCTATATCCATTACACGTCCAAAAATAGCCTGAATTTCTTCCTCTGTAATTGGGTCCTCTCGGTAATCAAGACCCATTTGATCTTCATAGTCTGCTGGTAGTTGCTCATATCTTGTATATATTGTCTTTCCTAGCGTAGCCTTTTGAGATAATTTCTTGGGAGGCAATTCCTTGGATAATGTCGAATTCTTTGGAATTCTTGAAGCCCTTCGTTTCGAGGCATAAAACCTCTTCGAGCATTGCAACCCTAGAGCTCCTGACCAGCCACGGTTTTCAGCTTTTAGTGTCCCTGCGCCAGGTCCCCTCCTTCGGAAAGGCGTCGAGGATATCGAATATGGTCGTATAGCTCCATGAACAAGCCTCGAGGCTAAACCATCAATTGTACTACATGTTTGTAGTGTGACCCAAGTTTGTAAGCACGAACTGCGTGCTGCAGGCCAAAGACTATTCATCTTCAACTTCTTACTATAATGTCATACCTTGCTTTGAATCATTGGATGAAGGAACCCCGCTATGGTGTTCTTATTCGCCATCGAATTTACTAAAGATTGGATTTGGAGATCATAGAAAATATATGCGCACAGACCAATATGCGATAATTCCGCGCGGGCAGCTGTTGCCTCGACTTCAACCCCTCCATTCCTATCAATTATTACAATCTCTTCGATACAATTATCAATTCACGACATCTCGAGATTTTCTCTGTAGATTTAACAACTTGAAGAGCCAATATCTCTCTTGTTTACTGACAGAGGAATATCAGCTTTTACGACTTCCAAGTTTGGGCATAGTCGCACGAGCTATACACAACCCCTCCTCCAACAGCATCCACGAACTTGACAAATAATTCTCAAACTTACCCAAATATCAATATGTCCGCCGACGCTCTCCCAATCTCCCCTGCTGCCTTCGCAGAAGCTCTGAAAGATCTCCCCATGTCCACCCTTCACCTCAAAGCTGCCGAACTACGCAATTCCATCGCACATCTCGATTATTCTAACGAAGAATTGAAACCTTTCGCTGAAGGGAGAGCTCCCGAATGTGTAGACGGGAAGCCAGATGAAGATTGGTATGTTATTTTCCTTTGATTTATTTTCCATACTTTAAAAAAATGAGAAGGCGATGCGCTTAGAAGAAGTTACTAATAAGCTCTGGTAGTATTGACGCCATTCGCGAAAACGAAATTGTAATAACCCGCATGGAAACCCGCATCTCACTTCTCCGCACAGAAATAGAAGCTCGAGGTGGAGTATGGGGCGAATATGAAGCTGGCGCAGAACCTAAGCTAGAAGAAGATGTACTATCTCCCGCTCCTGCGACAAACGGCACAACCTCTGCGAATGAAGAAAATAGGAGTAACCCTTGGGCCGATGGAACATTTACAACGGGACGAATTGTGGGAGGTGAAGTTGTGATGGATCCAACACCTGCAGCTACAGCCGCATCTACAACAGTGAATGGGGTATCTGCGGCGAACAGAGTCACAACAAATGGAGCCACAGCAACTACAAACACGGGAGGGAGATTGGACGATGAAGCTTTACGTCGAGCAATGGAATTACGGATGCGCGAAGATGCTGGTGCGGATGAGGAGGAAGGTATGCATTTGTGAGACGGTCAATCGTATTTCGTCTCACATGGAACCCGTTGGTCTTCTTGGAAGATATCTGTTCGAGAAGGATTTCAAAATCACCGGCTATGAAGAATGCTCTAAGAATAATCCTCGGAGGCGCTGTCAACTGCCTTAACCTCGTTCTGGCACATTTCCACACCTTTCAACACCGCAAGATCAAGTGAGGAGTCCCAACGACCGGAACATCTATTTGCTTACCAGTACCCATAATGCAAACCAAAACAATCTTAACGAATCTATACTCAACAATCAGCCTCCTCAAAAGGGTGTGTCTTGAAAACAAAGAGTCAAAATCCACCATAAAACAACAAAGCAAAGAAAGAAAATTACTGCAATCCAAAGGATTCACCTGTAGTATCTAAGACGGCTTCTCCAACCATGGTATTTATCTCTTTCCCTACAAACAACAAGGTGATTATACCATGAAAACTCAACTTGCTCCGAATCCATCCACGCGAGAAGAAACAGCAAATTCGTTCCTCATACCCCGGGTTTCTGCACAATATCTCGCAAATATAAATCATCACAACCCATCTCATCATGATACCAGCCCATTTCCCAAAAAGTTCTTGCTCTATTTTTGTGATCTTTTTGCATTGGCGGCGTTGTAGATACCATTTCATTTTATTTTCTCTCTCGTGTTTATTATTATTGTAACTAGCCTTAGAGAAGAAAAATTAAAACGTCGTTCAAGATCCCTCTATCTAGCTGGTTAATTAGCTACCTACTTACCGTGAAATTTCCACGATAGAAGTTTCGCTTGATTTGGAATTATATAGACAGATATGAAGATATGAAGATATAGAAATAACAAAGACGTGACAGATAACTCATAGCAGATGATGGATTCCCTAGTATCATGAATTATGCAATGCTAATGACAATACCAATGACAATGACAATGACAATAATAATAATAACGATAACGATACAATATTAACTAATTACAAATACAATTACAACGGCAGAAAGAAGAGAGGAAAGATATCGCAATCCTGGTATCAAAGAATCCCCAACCCGTCCAACCCAGTCAGTCCACGGGACATGGATATACTATTATCGACATACGTGTCCAATTCCTATTCCCAGAATCCTCACTATTAAAACACTACCCACCCACCCACTCACTCTCCTCCTCTTTACCCCCTCCCTCCACAAATCCCACCCCGCACTACCCTACTCAAACCAACTTTAAACATCCTCTCTCCCTGCGCTCCCCCCCCTCCCCGCCACAGAAGTCCTACTCTTCTTCTCCCTCAAACTTCTCCTTCCCCCCGCCCAACTCCTCCTCCCCTCCTCCACGACCAACGGCACGCCCTTATATCTCAAAACCGGTACGCTCATGCCATACGCCCTTGTCTTGCCCTCTGCATCATGCTGATCAATCTCGACTCGGACCACCACGTCTAGACTTCCATCTCCGCTCTTGCCGTGATATTGCGGATCCGCTGCCTTGTATGCGCTTCCTGCGCCCTGTTCTCCCTTGTGGAGAGGAGAGTGTCCATCTTTTGGTACTTCAGAGGGAGGGAGATCGTAGGGTCCTGAGGAGGAATCGATTGGTGTTTCACCATTTCCATTCTGGGTCGGAATGGAAGATGCCGAGGAAGGTGAATTTTCTGTGAGAACTGCCCAGTTTCGACTTGGCATTGTAACAGTATTACTCTTGCTACTCTTCTTCTCATCTCCCGGATCTCTATCAAAGAAACTCAACAGAGTCTCATCTGTCTCTTTATCTAAATGATGAATTTTATTTCTCTTCGCCAATAGGTTCGCGACCGCTTGCGGAGGAGGCTTGTTAACAATTGCTGAAGAAATGATATTTGCCATATACTTGTAATCTGTCGAAACTGGGATTTTCAAGTGAGGATTTGAGTAGAAACGTCCAACGGCAGCGAGATGTACGTCGCCACCAAGAATGGTGATACGGACTGAGAATTCGGATGCAAGGGATTGAAGTTGTTTGACAATGTAGTGACGTTCTTTTTTGTGGGTATGTGCTGTGTAATGATCATCGAGATCATCGAGAAGATCTACACTGCCATCGAAATGATTGAAGAAGCTTCCACCTAGCAATATAAGTTAGTAATTAATATACATAAATGGATGTATAAAATATCGCTAACCAAATCCAAATCGCTTATTCATAAATTTGAGTGGGCCCATTAAGGGGCTCGAAAAAATATTCTCTAGCCATGTCAAACGCTACAAATATTAGCATCAGAGAATGATTAGATTGCAATACCAGACTTACTGGGTAGGCAATAGGGATTCCGAGTAAGATAATAAGATGTTGAATAGGATTTGGAGAATCTTTTGCAGCCGTAAGTTCTTCTCTAAGACGATCGAAAATTTTCTTGTATGTTTCTGGATAGTTCACTTGATGACGTGTACGCTGGATCAAAGGTCAATATCATACCGTGGTTGGGAATTGTGACTACTTACTTCTGTTCTAGCATCGATACCAAAAAAAGCAACTCTTGCGCCTAATCTTGCATAAATGCTACGGGAGCGCTCTGCTACATATGGCTGCAAATGATTAGCTTTATCTACAAGACAACGCGAAAATACTTACACCAGGGCTATCACCAATAATATAGCTTGGATCAGGAACGTCATTCTCCAATACATATGTGTTTTCTATTTGACGTGGATCAATTCCGCCTCCGTTCGCAGACATAGTCTGGGGTGCATCTGAGAAACGTTAGTATGGGGGAAAAAATGGTCTGAAGAACAACGCACCAGTTGTAAATGTAGATGCCGGAGGTGCAAGATGATGCTGGAAGAGTAAATAGTATTTATGAGCAACACCACCAATACCGCGGAAAACGGGACAACGCATGAATTCATCAACGTATGAACCAAAGCCATCAATGATCTATTAAATTGATTAGTAGATAAACCTATCATGAGACAAAAAGACACTTACGTCATGATCATCCCAAAGGTTGACTTGAGGGATCTTTCCATTCATCGCAGCAAAAGGTTCTGTGGAATACCTAAATCTTAGTCAATTCTCATAGCCTATATCTTCTACTTCAGCCATTGACTTACCAGCGAATATAATTCTTGACATAATAATCATCGCAGTCTCTCCTCAACTGTTCGGGAAAAGGATATTCCCTTCTTTTGATAGGATTACCAATATCAGTCCAAGGTCTCAGAGGACCATTGACTCTGATTCCATCATTATAAATCTGATCTCCACCACCAAGCCTATCGAATGTTAGTCTGTACCAACCCAAAATCGAAGATATCCCTACATAACATGGAAAGGCGCTTCCTCATGTTGTCGTGCGACATCTCTCCAAAGACAAGCACCACTATAAGCGTCCTCATCTGTTCCCACACTAAACCCATTACAAGAATGAAACATTATTCTCATGCTCTCGGTAACCGCTGGTACGAAAAAAGTTTGTCTATCCGTCTTTCCTCCCTCAGCAAATGTGAGACCGGGAATAGCGTATTCGCATCGAAGTTCTTCCTGTAGCATAGGAACTTGAATATGAAATCTCCAGAAAGTGTTCGCAACATCTGCATAAAGCTTGACTCCTCTAACTTTGATTTCTTCCAAATCGCTAGAAGTGTCGGACACTCCATTTTGTTGAGGAATATTGCCATTCGATGTTTGTGTTGGGTTTACGTTCTCAGAATAATCTACCCCGTTAATAATCCCAGGCGCTTGATCATGACCATTCAATTGTTCATTCCCAGTGGCAATACCCACCCCATTACCATTTTGTGGGGCCTGTCTCCTCTCTTGAACTCGTAATCTCAACTCCGGTACCGCATCTTCCCTGACCGTATGCGAATCAACCACAATCAACACACTCCCAAACCAAACATCATTTTCCATCCGTCTATAGTTCAGCAACGGACCACACTTAACCGTTGCTCCCGCGCCAGTCCTCTGCACCCCATTCACGGCATCCTTGTGTTCCAATTCTTCTTGTTCCCTTCTCGCAGCTTCAAGTTCTTCGGACTGCGCGTTCCCGGCTAGTACAATTGGTCGATGCGGACTAGGTGGACCTTTGCCTTGGACTCGCGATTTATTAAGAAAACTAGCCAAATCCTCTTTTTCATTTCTGCCATCTACTCCTCGAGCTCCGATGTTTGCATGATTGGAAAATGCGGTGGATTCTTGGTGGCGCCATGGATTCGAGGATGCGTGGGTATCGATATGTTCTTTTCCGTGAAGGAGATCATCCCGATAGTGAGCTGCCATTGTTTATGGGAGCTGGGAATTCCGAAGCTGTAGATTATGCGTGTTTATTGTCGGTAATGTGAGCGAAGAAGAAGTAGAAGATTAAATTGTTGATCCTTTTTAAAAGTAAACGATACGGCCCGTCCGCGTTCCTACCAGTTGACCCAAATGCGTAATATAATGCTTTGTGCAGCCTCGAATTACTCGCTGCGTATCTTCCCTCTAATCGCAATTAGATAGGTAGGTCTAAGAATGTCAATTGACTCCCTCACAGGACATGGAATCAAAAGCAAGATAGAAGGAAGTTTTTGCTTCCTAAAAAGCGAATGTCACCGTAGCAATGACAACAAAAGGCGAAAAAAGTCCAACAACAACAATTATCATTCATTTCTATCAAAAACAAGTTAAATTCTCACTTTCCCCAAATTCTCTTGGCTTATACAACGCCAAGAATGTAATCAAATACAAAGAAATTATATGGTATACCTATCGCATCTGGTGGGGCTTAGAGTTCTCTATCAGAATCACGGACCAGCAGGGGAAGGGCGATCATTTATGTATGAAGTAATGTGTGAAGTATGTAAGAATCCTTGTCTGAGTACGAATTCAATTAAGGTTTGAGATGCATTTCCTCTATTGACCAATTGGAGCTGGTTTATTGTTTATAGTTTGTCGATACATACTCCTCTTCGTTCCCGTGAAGCGGCTATGTCGAATCGAATGAGGGACTTGACTATACTACACTCGGGATCTAATATAGTCGCCTACCTAGGTCCTCATTACATACACCTGCCAGAGTCTTTACATACATATACCTACACCGTACCTCCATACTAGGACTTTCCTTCAACCTATAAACCCACCATGCCACCTTATTAATCACAACTCTCAATCTCGCCATCGAATCCACTTCATCATCAACAGGTAGATAAATCATAGCCCATACGGTCACAACGGCTGATATCTTTACACCAGCCACCACACCAGCCATCACACCAGCCATCACACCAGCCATCTCCAAAGATCCATCTAATAACAAACCAAAAAATAGCGCATACGCTATTCTCACATGTAGTTTACTAGTTCCAAGTCAACGATCGATTAGCTGACGCAGTTGATGAGGTAGTCTCCTTGGCACGGATGAAAGTACCTAGTAGCCTTATGAAGAGAATTACATGAACTACATAATATCGTATTCGGATTTATACACAGGTAGGTATCTAATACCTATGTATGAACTGCTGGGATTTTGAACAATTGTGAATCGCAATGGGTTTGATGATTGATGGTTTATCATTCTAAGGATTATGGATACCATTTCTGGGCATGCTGAGCTTGTTAGTGCTTGTTCAAACCTCTTCACCGTCCGTCTGTTCGATATTCGCACATACCACACTGCAATCATCATCACGGATCCAAAAATCAATCCGCGTATTAGCCATCCCGCAAATCTTTGTTCGATTCAGTTATTCGAGTAGAAGTTGAGCAGCATTCCATTGAAACGTCTCAAACATAATTCTTACTGTAAACAGTGTGCGTCTCAGTCAATACGAATCGAGTCAAGTCAAGTCAAGTCAAAACTAACTTACCCTCATCCTCACAAACCACAAACCCGCGAAACTTCCACCAGTCTCGGCTGCACATTCTCATTCGCCTCATCCATATACCTATTCCCAAAATCCTTAACCTCCCTCTCCAACCCCTCAATACTCTCACATCCCAGTATCTTAACCCCAGCCCCCTCCCCCTCCCCCTCACCCTTTCCACCCCTCATCAAGGGTTCCAGCACCCTCAAAATCCACGTCCGACAAGTTATTTCCCTCTCATTCAGCGTCCCATCCAGACTTCTAAAAACCTCATTCACATACCCCTCTTCCCCATCCGGGATCACCGCGATTTGAACAAGACCAACAAGAAGCGCTTCTTTCAAAATCCCTTTTGTGCTTCCGTGATCTACAGTCCAGCCTGCACCACGGTTTCGGACGTGGTATTTAATGCCGCCTTTCTGAGCGTTGTGGTGGAGGTAGAGTGCCCAGTGGAAGTCGTCGGGTTGGTTAGGGTATCCGCGAGTGAAGAGTGCGATGTAGAGTGCGTTGGGTTGGAGAGTTGATAGGGACATGGTGGGATTGATGTGGTTTAAATAGGTAAGATGGAAAATGGTTCGAAGGCGAGTGTGAGTTTGACTGACTGTAGGTTTCTCGGTATGTAGGTAGATATGTATGATTATTTCTCTAGATAACCAATTACTGATATGGTGATACTACTTTGGTGATGATAGATACCTACCTAGGTACTTCTATGAGTAGCCCTCCATAACATATCTAATCGTCAAAAAGATTTCCAAGATGAAAATAAAAGAACCTTCCAAGGTTTGTGTAGGAAATATCTAGGCCAAATATTGTATTAATCACATATGAACGATTAGTCCCATTGCTTGTTCGTGATATTTTCGTGCTCTTGTAAGATTTCCAAATAGTCAAGACGATTAGACAATTAGACAACTTCTAGTACAGTAAAACCACATTGTTGTAATTATTCTTTCCACAGCAACGATCCTGATGACATGAAGGAAGGCCACACAAATTCATATATTAATATAACACTACTTACAATTTCTCAACCATTTCAACTCTGTCTTCCTTTAATTCGGCGATTTTATACATCTATCATAATCATCTAGTTTACCTGTGTTTGCATACATATCTACCTAGTAAGGTTATAATACATAGGTACACACTTGAATATCCTCACACCCTTATCCATCAATATCACTACCTAGTAGGTATCACCATTACCAGAAAATAACAAGACAAGCCTCCTTTCGTAAATAGTCAAACCCTATCTATCGATTAATTCTCTTCACAATTAGTAATACCTACCTACCTAGTAGTATTCAATCCAGATCTCAGAAATATGGTAGCATACCTAGGTGGTTTGATATTTCTGTTAATCTCCTGGTCTAGTATTGTATATAATATTATCACATTACAATAATAACAAAAAATCCTATGAAAATAAGATTCATCGTTTCCAGGTATAAGTATTGTTACATCGGTGCCTACCTAAGGTATCTGAGTAGAGAAAAACAAAAAAAGATAGATATTTAGGTTCACGTTCCTGAATCCACAGGTTAATTAACTCGAAAAATTCAAACCTTACTTAGGTACTGGTTACTAACTTTAGGTACCTACGTACCTGACTACCTAGTATATTATTTTATCCTACCAGATACCTTAGCTTATTCTTAGTAGGTATTACTAGGTAGGTTTTTAATAACCATAGTTATACGAAATATATACATATAAAGTTAACTATACATACAAACATACGAAGATACGATACGATCGGACCAATAAACTGAGCAAAAGATGTTTAGGCAAGAAATTAATAAAATCGAATGGAATGAAATGGAAGTTATGGAACAGAATTAGTTGATATAGGTATACTAGATATACTAGATATACTTGTATAGGCACCTGAATACTGGCTTGGCTGATACGGGTACTCAAGTCAGCCGATCAAAATGCCACGGTTCCAATGTTCCAAAGTTCCAAACCAGAACTCCGGATTTTGTGTGGTTACACGGCATGTGTGTGGACGACCTGGCTTGGGTAGGTAGGTAGAGAGGTAGGCACTGGAATGAAAGGTGGTGAGGGCTGTGATTTGGAATAGCTAATAGACACCGCTTTTCTACGTATGGTATTGGATGCGGATGGATCATAAATTGTAATGCGGATAGAAAGTTGGATTTTATGTCTACCTACTGGTTTCATATCTTAGATAGGTATCTGGGTATCTGGGTATCTGGGTATCTAGGTATCTAGGTATCTATAATATCATAAGCGCAATAAGAAATCTATCTATCCATCTCTCTCTATCCTCAAACAACTCGAGAACACCTCCTCGAGAACTCCTAGTAAAGATGAACGCAAACCCTTACAAAGATCATCACTCTTCTGTGTTTCGTTTCGACTTTCGAGTTTCATCTTACAAAAGCGGATACAAATATGGACAATCCGAAAATTATTCAGGGTCCACTCCATATTTTCAGTGCTTGATCACTGACTGCTGATTAGGGGTCTTGGAAGCTTGGATGGAGTGTGCAATCGAGGAAAAGGGCAGGTGAGTGTCCGTACGGACTACGGAGTATGCATTGCGCGGGCTGGGGAGGGACGTGATTAGTACGAAGTAGATGGATGGATACTTGCTACTCGGTATGTTTTCTTAGCACGTATCGAGGGAGGCTGTAGGTCGGTGGATGGACGGGATTCTGTGGGGATGAATGGATCGGGGGATGGGTAGGTGGGGGATTGCGTTTTGAATCATTACCGAGTATGTACGAGTAACTTATCTGAGGGTTTGAGGAATTCGGGGATTGATGGATTGATGGATTGATGATCTCGATTGTTTGAAGAGGATGGTGATGGATGGGAAAGGGATGTGTGAAAGATATAGATGAGTGAGTGAGTAGTAGGTAGGTAGGTAGGTAGGTAGGTAAAGATAGAAAATAATTGAACGTCATAACTTGGAATTCTCCTTTCATTTATTTCTTCACTCGACAACAATACGATGGATACATACACAACCACATCCCAAATCTAACCTCGGATATCATATCACCTCTCCTTCATCAAACCGAACAGGCCATTGCATTGCCCCTCGTGGCGATGGTTACATTATATGGGGCAAACAGGGGGAGAAGCAAGGGGGATTTGAGAATTGATAATAACATACCCCAGCTCCTTCCTTTCTATGGAGTACCAAGTATGTACCGTACCTAATCGGACTGGCGAGAGAGTTGACTGTACAGAGTATGTTTCCCCATCCTTCATTCTTCATTCTCACACGCAGGGTGGATGGATGCGATTATCTCAATTGAAATGAAATACGATGTACATTTCACAATTGATCATCAGAGTAATAAAATATGTTGAGAAACATAACTATCTCCTAGATTGTGACTCGTGAGATGGTATCTCGTTTCTCCCTACTAAATTAGATCTCCATCGCTTGGCCGTTTAATCAACCCAACCCCTGGTTATCGATAAAGGAAGGGATTGATTGATTCATCAATTCAATCATTTAGTTATTCAATTAATCAATCAATTGTTCATTCATTCGTATTATACCTATACCTACCCAAGGTAGTATGTGTGACTAAAAACACATTGGAATCCTTTTTACATACCATACACACATACCACACATACCACACATACCACACATACCACACATACCACACATACCACACATACCAGACCATCCCATCCCACCCCATCCCTATCATACCGACCTTTCATCCAAACCTCAATTATTAATAAGTGCATACGAAGTACAAAATACGAACTTGGCCTTGTCAATTAAATGAATCTCTGACATCACTTCCAATACGAATCATCATTATTCATCTTCTGTGGTCTTACTTGTTCTTCACTTCAAATCATTTAAACCAATATCAAAAAGACACATACCACCAAGGTCTCATCATACCTATTCAAACCTAAACGTGGAGACTATCTGGAATAGAGACCATCACCATCACCATCACCATCGTCCCATCACATCACATCTCATCCCTTCCGCTTGGACTCGAAGAAATATCAAAATAGAAATTACGGAGCACACACAACAAACAAAAGAATTCAAACTACCTACTCAACTACTTATAACTAGCCAGTCTAATCATTCGTTACACCATTGTCATTGTCGATCCTTCAAACTATAAACTTCATACAATTCTATATTTGTTACAAAGGTTCCCTCCCATTCAATTGGTGCTTGAAAATTCAATTGATGACTGTGGATTAAGATTGGCTACTTCATCAACCTCCCAGCCACCAATCATAATCATATCTTTCGTACCCGACTTCTATACCTTTCATACGAGACTCCATTTCTTGGGAATCTGAACTCAAACTCAGTCTTTACTTGCATATTCCATACTCAAAAACTCACTCTAAGCAATACTTCTCAGGGTATTATCGAAAAGGATCCATCCCATCCCGCATATTTGAAACCAGCATTTTCCTGGTTGAGGATCCTCCCATTCGAAACAAGCCGCAACCGCAGAATGAGTGAACTGCGCAACGTCACCTTCATGCGTTAAACTTTTCCTACGATCATCTCCTTATTTCACAGTTCTATAGACGCTTCTTCTCCGTTCGCCATATCAAAGAATTGAGAAATCATGTCTATAGATGTTGCTCTACAATCTGTTGCATTCTACGTATTATCCTGCGCTACGTGCGCCAAGATTAGCCATAGAAGGAAAGCCAAAGAACAAGCCAAACGAGAACGAGTCGAAAAACATGCATTGGAAACCGAACAACCGGGCCTGTATAGGCACCCTTCCCCGTTCTCGACAAATCCATACTGGACAGAAGAAATCATGATGGGGCCCGGTCCACCGAATAAAAAAGGAAATAAGAAGGATAAGAATGGAAGTCAGAGAGGATTGAATACAGCAGGACAAGGGAGTAGTTATGCGAGTAGTGCGGGGATGAGTACGGATACTGGCAGTAGTCCTACGGTGGTTGAAGAAGGATCTCGAATATCGGGAGAGGGGTGGAATCGGAAACGATATCAACGAGAAGATGAGCAACTTTGGGGTAGGGAAACTTATGGACCGGGTCATAGAATTATGGATGCAATTACAAGAGCTTCGGAATCTGCGGGGAGAATGTTCAATATGGATGGGAGACCTAGCAGTAAACATGGATCGGATGGAAATCCAGAGTCGTATTATATTGCGAGGAATCCGCCAGTTAACGACTTACATCCACCAATTGTTAGTACGGCACCAAGGAGTAAAGAAGAAACGAGATGGATGATACAACCACCTCCTTCGGCAAAAGTAATGGAAGGTAAGGAGAGAGTGGTCAGTACTAGTAGAAATCGAGCAGGCAGTCATGGGAGTAGTCGAAGAGGTACAGAAGGTCAACCATTGGGACGGATCGTCACGGAAAAACTCATCGATGCCAAAGTCCAACGTGGAGAAACTCCTTCCAAATTGGAAATCCGTTCTTTCACAAACAGAGGTCAACAACACGATCGAAACAGAAGTTCATCGGCAGATTCCTGCAGCTCTTCAGATGGTAATACAACGAGACGATCCAGAAAACCATCTCCAATCACGGTTCCCAAAGCTGCAAATAGTAAACCCCGTGGAAAAGCAGAGCATGTCCCTATACGAGACTCGGAAGTGGCAACGGAAATGCGGGAAACGAATGCGAATGCGAATGGGAGACCTCTTCTAGCGACCATTGTCAGCTCGTCAAATGTGGTTCCACAGTTACATAAGAGTCAAAGTACGGATTTGCCATTGAGAGAATTGTCGGGATCGACTATTGGAAATGGAAATGGAAATGGAAATTCGTGGATGAATGCCAGAGAGTATAGAGCTGCAGCTGCTAGTGAACCGCTTCCGAATACGAAGAGAGAGGAGGCTATGACAATGAATGAGGGAAAATCGTCAAAGCCGGAACATGTGGAGGGATGTCCTAAGCATGGTGATTTACAGGCATAAATGTCACTCTCTTGGGGATATGATGGGAAAACCCATACGTGATTATGATTATCGCCTGACCACAGCGTTCATTTTTTATCTTCTCTTTTTCTTTTCTTTTGTTTCTCTACTTGGGACAGTGGTTCCATTTTTCCAACCCAACTTTTGTCCGTTTTTGTCTGGTCTCAAAACTGTCGGGTTTAGCATATCGAAATCATTGGTCTTGATTGGTATTGATTTGGATATTGGACAATGGAGCAGGCGTTATAAAATTTCGGCCAGGGAATACATACGTCTTGGGCTTGATAGCGAAAAAGAATGGTGTATAGGTGTTTGGGGATTAAAGATTTGTTTACTTGTTTTGTTTTACGCCTTTCTGTGTTTATATTTTGTTTTTGTATGGGGAATGGGTGTTTTTCTCTCTGCCTTTCTTTTTCTTTTCTCTTTCTTGGAGATAGGATGGCGTTTAGCATTCTGGCGGGCGGCAATTGGACTCGGTTGGTTGGAGTTGAAGTGGGAACGGGCGTTGAAAGGGGGTTCGGGTGTTTATGGTTCGATGGATGGATAGCATTGGTGTTTTTCATGAGGTTTGGAGAGGTTGTGGGGGAGGAGAGGGATGTGTATATGCATTTTGATGTGGTTATGATTTGTGAGATGTGCGTTTGAGGAGATCTGGAAAATTGGGATGGGAGGAGGAGGGGGGAAAGCGGGTGAAAGATAGGAAAGGGGAATGATGAATTTGTTTGAGTTGAATTGAATTAAAGAATGAGGAGGGAGAGAAAAGAAGAAAGAATAGAGGAAAGGGAAGAGAAGGCACGAGAGGATCAAGGTGGAATAGGCAAATAGGAGGATAGGAGAAGCGAAGGAATTCAAAGCAAATCAAAATACATTAAATGAAAACAAATAAAACAATTCAAATCATATCATATCTCATCCCATCCCATCCCATCTGTTCATTCGTGTGAATCCAACTATTGATGCAAAGCCAGTGTTTAAGCTTGTGAAATTTAGTGAATTCCAAAAATTTAGTTGTTGAATTGAGTTGAGTTAAGTTGAATTGAATTGATATTAACCCAATCAGACGAATAATACAAATTACCTCTCATTTTCATTTTCATTTTCATTTTCATTTCTACTCTTCTCTTCCTCCTTTCCTCAATCTCCTTTCAAATCCCTCCTCCCTCAAATGCCCCCTTCAAATTCTTCCCTCAAATCCCCCCTTCAAATCCCCTCATCTACTTTCCCTTCCCTTGCTCTTTAAATCCCTCTCTTGAAAAAAGGAGACGGAGAGAAAAAGAAAAGTCAAATACCTACCTACCTGAGTCATCTACCTATTTATCTACCTATCTACCTACCTATCTAGCTATCTATCTAATACTTCACCCTTCACCCCAAACACCCTTCACCCACCTATCCACCTATCCACCTATCCATTCCAATCCATCCAATCCGACAAATCCGACAAATCCACTTTAAAGTTCAAGAATCATTCGAGGTCATTTATGTAGGTATCTATTTATCATTTTTTTATATACACTCTTATATATACTCTTATATACACTCTTATATACACTCTTATATACACTCTTATATACACTCTTATATACACTCTTATATACACTCTTATATACACTCTTATATATCCATCCAATTCATCCAATTCATTCCATTCCAATTCATACAATCAAATCCACTTCAAAGTTCTGACTTCAAAGTCCAATCCAGATTCCATTTATCTCCCTAATACCTCCCTAATACCTCCCTCCCCCTCTCACAGTATCAATACCACCATCACCACACCAGCAGAGAGAGAGGAAAAGAAAAGAAAAAGAAAAAGAAAAGAAAAACATACAAAACCCTGAATACAGAACCCTGAATACAGAACCCCTCTCACAACACGAGAGAAATTGAAATAATATATAGACAAGTAGATAGACTATGAGTAGCTCGAGTATACACATTCACATCCTCATTCACATCCCAATTTCCCCTCCCATCTACACTCCTATCATTCTCACTCTCATTTCCCACTGCATTTCAACATCCAGTACTCGTAACAGATATTCCTAACAGATATCTTCCATTGATATATTTATTCTCCAATAATATTCTCTACCTTAACTACTACTATTCTTATTCCCAACTGTATTCAAGCGGGTTCATGTCCCAACATTCAATACCCAACTTTACCCAATCCACGGATAGGTAGGTAGGTATAGAATCACGCACGCTATCCTGTCTTTCTCATACAATGTATGCACAACCAGCCTCTTTCATACCTCTGCTTCTTACTTATTGTTTCGTCTCCATCTCAGCCCCCGGCAATCCGGTCCGATTCAATCCCATCCCATCCAACGATGGCAAAAGAATCGATACCCCAAAAAAGCAAAGACAAAAAAAATAACGCCAAACGCTCGCTGTATGAAACAAACGCATACACAAAAGTTTTCCATTCCAAATCCTGAAATCCTGAAATCTCGAATCATCATTATCCTGATTCTCGATTCAGAAAGTGATATAATATTTGTATCTCCCACTCAACTCCTTTCCTCCTTCGCCTATACAGGCCTTTATTTTCCATCCGCCATTTTCCTACTAGCCTTTTTAATAATATTCGCTGTCTTTTCCACCAGTTTCTTTGCTAGTCCCCAATCACCTACTTCGACTGCGTCACGGATAGCAGGGAAAAATGCCTCATCATATCCAGACCAGAGTTGTGGGCCAAAGATTACATGTTTGAATTGGGTTCTGTTAGGTATCTGTTTTAAGATGTTAGTAGATGTTATCGATGAGAGATGAAAGGTATGAAGACAATTGGGGACATGAGGTGATAGGGGGAAAAGACAGGAAACCCAAAGCAAAGAGAAAGAAAACATACCCCACCACCCTCCTCCAAATCCAAAAGATGCGTTTCGAAATTCGCCATTCGAGTATTATGACTCTTTCTATGACTTGCCAATCCCGGACTTTCAAATCCTCCACTTCCCAATACCAATCCATCCCATTCTAATTCAAACTTCTCAAACCTTCTCGAATCTTGCGCAAATTGTAATGCTGCTTCTCTCAATGGTTCTGTTGACCATGGTACATTACCAGCTTGATTTGGTCCTTTTGATTCTGCCCAATTTTCTAATTCCATTACCCATTTAGTAACCGATGCAGAATATGCTCTAATATCAAACGGCAAAACCGCTCTATCGCAGAACTCAAGAATGAGAAGAGCCCATACTTGAGCTAGAAGTTTATGGTACTGAAAACCAGGATCTCCTTGACTGGCCATCCATTCAAAATTATCATACGCAGAATGATAAGGATAAACTGGTCCCTCGAATCCGAAATCCAAAGAAGAAGTTCCTGCCATATCTTGAAACGCGACATAATCACTTCCGGCACCTAGACCATCTAGTTGCGCTTTCCTTTCATCCCAAAGTTGTCTTAGTGTTGCATTTTTAACAGGATCAGTTGTGCGATCTAGAACTCTAAGAAGTGCTTTCTTGAAAACTGGACTTCCAGCGGCCCGGAATGTGTCGCCACCAACTGCTACATCAACGTTTAAGTAAACAAAAGCATCTTTACGTAATTTCTCTATGTTCTTTTCGACATGTTCCGTAGATCCGATGAGGTTGTATTCCTCACCATCCCAAGAAGCAAATTCGATAGTACGTTGTGGACGCCAACCTCGTGAAACAAGATCACCAAATATATGCATAACTTCGAGGAAAACGGCTGTACCCGAACCGGGATCCGTTGCACCAAAAACCCAAGCATCACGATGATTACCAACAATGATAGATTTCTCTTGTTGTTCAACACCGGTAATTTTTCCCAAAACATTCCAAATTGGTTGTTGCTCAACTTCATCCTGTTCATTAACAAGATGAACTTTGGGGGTTGAAAGATTTCCAGACCAATATTTGACATCAGGAACTGCACCTTGCCATTCTGGAGGACATTCTTCTCCAAATCCCTGAATGGATTGTAAAAGCCTTTGTGCATCTCCCCACGAGATTGGAATACTAGGAATACTAGTCAAGCCTGGATTGTTCTCTTTCGGTACACGTTTCGCTCCTTTTACGCTTGCCCATCCAGGTGTGAGGACATCCCCAACTACCCAGCTCATTAAACTGACTGCGCCTCGTTGAACTCCATCTTTGGGCATATATCGACCATTGGGGGCGGTATCACCTAATGTAAATCCATCATCTGCAGGATCACTGTACATTATCACAGCTTTGAAACCCCAAGGTTCCGCAGCCTTGACCTTCAAAGCTCTGTCTCCTTGTGTACCATAATATCTGACCAAAGCAATTGCCCCTCTAGTATCAATTCCACCGTCGTAAAAGGTTTTGTAATCGGCTTGTGAACCATAATTACAGTATAACAATGGACCTGTAACATCTCCTGCTTTCGAATGTCCATGGAAAACCGGTGTTTGTTGTCTCGGTGGATTTGTGTAAAGTTGCGGTTCATCGATCTTTGCCTGCCAAATCGGATTCCCATCTTCGCCAAGTAATTCGATTTTCCTCCCTCCCTCCTTTGGATAGTTTAGATAAACTCCATATTCATCCATCTTTACGTCCTCCAATCCATTCTTCACCATAAGTTCTTGAACGATTTCTGCCAAAATATAATCTCCCTCCGTACCCGCCAAATGATCCGTCTCCGTAATTCTATTCATCCACCTCATAATTCTCTCTTCCGAAACACTTTCCTGCACAAATATCCTTACGCTCTCCGCAGGGAACATCTGGCCTCCAATCCTATTCGCCGCATTCGAAAACAGATCACTCATAAACAACAAATATACCACTGCCATAACGAGCAGTATTGCGAAAATCCTCCCAATCACTATACAAAAATTGGCATCGATTTTTGGCCAGCCAATCCTCCGTATCCAAGGTATTCGCGATGATAAAGATGCGGAAAGACTCGACATTCGTTTCCCCCACGTCGATTGTTCGGTTTGCGGATCCTGTATTTCCATCTCTTCCATCTCTCTACGCACTTCATCGTCATCCTCACTTTGGCGTTCTCCATGTTGATTTAGAAACGTATCCTGTTCCGTACTGCCTCGATTCGAAATGCCATCTTCAGTGGGAGGAGGGCGATAACCAGCTCTGCGAGTGGGAACTGGAATTCTGGCTCCGACATCAGGGCCCAGCAGACCTTCTCTTTCGGCGGGATGTGCAGTTTCATTCGAGGAATCGGAACGGGAGATTATGGGTGTTGAGCTCTGAGAGGATTCGCCGATGGCTTCGGAGTAGGTGGGTATGGGGAGAGATTCGTAGATGTGCTTTTCGTCCGGCATTGTGAAAGTTGTGCCAATTTGTTAGATATGGAAGAGGGAGATACCACTTCTCTTGGTGGTTGAGTTTGTGTGCTAACGATTGATAATGTTGTCAATTGATAAGGTTGCGAATACGAAGGGCGGCCGTATAGAAGGACAATGGACGTTTCGATAGATCTCTAAATATTAATGTCCTTTCGAACTCCTTGATTCACAAAATTCTCCAAAAGAATTATGAATCCCTCCAGTGCTTCTTGAAAACTTCAGGCCAGCTGTTATTTCAATACTTATTGTATGATTTCGAAGTTTCAAAGTATTGTGAATTTCTTTGGTGGCTTAAAAGTTGAAGCATATTCGAAAGTCAATGGGTTATCTGCGACACAGAAAATCACGGACTCTCATTATCAAGGGATTCGCGTCTTCGGTAACCTTCCCCTGTCGATAAATCCACCAGTGATTTAGATCTGCAAGAATACGGAGAAAGGAATATGTAAGATTATGAAACGGTTTGTGATAAGAACCTAGCAATATATATATATATATATGTAAAAGGACTAACGAAGCATCACAATTCATTATTCACGATCTAGATGTTGGAGAGACGTTCTCTATACCTTAAATTGTGAATAAATCCTGTTACTATATTCTGTTTAGCCAAACAACTTAAGCAAATCTTTCATAAGATTGCATCTCACGCTTCAGTGATCTTTAGAAGTTCACGTTGCACATATTCAGAGCTATTTCGATTATCATCTCTTCTTACATACGTAGCCTATAGCTATGTTGATGTTTGCCAATTAAATCAAACCCATCACTTTTTTGCTTAAAAACGAGCCAAGTAAAATCTAAGTACATTCGCTGCATTATTTTGGTCTTCGTAAACATGAGTGCTGGCTTCCGAGAAAAAATCATACCCAGGGTCTCTCTCTTTCCCTCTTGTCTCCATCAAAGCAATTAACCCCAAGCCATCTCACATAAATTTACATCGAGTATGATCCATTTCATGCTCATAGAAAGCTATTAATAAAATAAAGGAGATGGTATTTGCTTGTGCTTTAAGGTGCAGCTGCTGTCACTACACCTTCATAGTTTCGAGAAGTAATATTATCCAAAGTACGTTGGAAATGCTTTCTTGGTTCGTTAATTGTAGCAGAATCTTGATTGCCTTGAAGATTTGAATGGATCAATTCAATGAGACCGTTTAGATATTTTGTTGTGACCTATCGATTCTGTTAGATGTGTGTCTTTGTGATTATGTATGAACGAAGTACTTACGGCTTCATTCTCTTGCTCGAAATAATAGACATAACGATTGAGAATCTCAACAAAAAGTTCCACCGAGACAGCAGTATCCATACATGCATCTGCAACGCGGAGTGCACGCTGAAGGCACTCAAGGACACGCTTCCCATCACGATAGAGCTATGATGTGTTAGCTGTTGTCCTAAATGTGATGGTAACAATTGAAACTTACATTCTTTTCATCCGTCTCCCCCTTTGCTGCGATAGGCACAGCCCACCAAAGGTGACTTGCTAAGAATACAGCACGACATTGATCAGGCTTCTTCAATAGCTTACTACCATGTAGAGCGCATTTGGTAATGAGAGTGTCATAGTTCTCCTTGCTGAAATTTCGTGTTTCATGCAGAGCAGACGCAATAACACAGACTGCTTGGAATTGAGCCCTAGAGTCGCTAATGCTTTCTTCGTAGATAGTGAATGCTTGGGCAAAGAACTCGTAGCTAACCTCCTCAAAATTGGTCTGATCAGCAATTTGTCCACAGGCCACAAAGAGCCTCAGACAAAGCTCAGCAGACCCAGACACTCGGGTATACATAGTTGAGAGAGCTGAATGCATAAATTTGAAAAGAGCTGATATTTGTGACTCCCAGTTATCATCATAGTGTTCTCTGGCCTTGAAACGTCTTGCAAGCTTCATGGCTGACGTTATAAGAGCCGGAGTTGTAAACTTCACACGCTCATTTCCTTCCGAATAAGCGGCCTTGGTAGTTTGTAGAAGCTTAAATTGTGTATCGTTGTCATCGCTATGGATTAAATGAACGATTCTAGCCAACCATCCCTGCTCTTCTATCGTTTCATCAGTCTCAACGGATTTGCGCTGTACGCCAGCGTAGCTGGCTGGGGGTTGAGATCCTTCCTTGATTAGAACCTTAAGGACTTCGAGAACTCCCTCTAGCGAGGCTATTGTAGAGATTTTGGTTGAGTTGCCTTGTAAGGTGCGAGCGACTTCACCAGCAACAGCTCGACGTGTTGGATATATTTGGAGTTGTAGTAGTGGGATATAAGTTGGAAGGGATAAGGCTGTAAAAATAGAAGCGTAGGAGTTGATTGGTGTCAGAAGCAAGTTTAGAATATTTTTCTGTGCCTCTGGAGAATGTAACTCAGGAGTGTTGGCATATGCTTTAACCCTTTCTGAGGCATAATTCAGGACCTGGTCGACATAATCTAGACGATCGGGATGGACTTTTAGTGCTAAATTGACCAAGGACACCAACAATGCCAAGGTATCTTGTACGGACAAGCGCTGAGAAGCAACAAGATGCATCACTTGGTCAAAGAATATCTCATACAGCTTGATGTTCTCAGGAACGGCATTTGGCCTGTCATTGGCGCCATCATTAACAGTTGTCTCAGCAACTGACTGAGTATCAACTTCAGTTGGAGCTAAGCTGAGACTATCATCCGTTTGTTCATTTGGTTTCGAGTCTGTGTCGGCTCCATTTGTCTCGGCCGACGGGCTATCACCGTTTGACTCTGAGGACTCCGGTGCTGTAGTTGAGTCTGGCTTCGAATCAGCAGCCTTGCTCTCCTTATTCAACCGAGTTGTTTCGAGCAACTTAGCAACAGCCTCCTGCTCTAACTTCTCGCGGTCTACTCCAGAAGTCGCTTCTGATTCTCGTGCAGCATATGCAGAAAGTCTATCCATCATAGCTATGACAATGACTTTCATATTTACATGAGGATTCAATCTCGATACAGCCGCTAAGAATTGGTCCAAGGTGTGAAGGTGATATTCATCAGGGAAGACCTGTGTGATTACTTCTAGCAAATATTCTTGGGCTAGAACATCCCGACATTGCACTACTTGTTCAAGTAATGGCTGAAGAATCGTATTCTTGTAGACTTCCAGATCCACTAATTGACTTAATCGAACTAGATTACTTCCGACTAGTAATTGAAGTTCTTTCCTCTCTTGTGTCCTCATCTCTCTTTCTCGGGAATGGCCTTGGTGTTGTAGTCGTACCCATAGCTTGTTCATTTCCACGAAATTTGTAAGAACAAAACTTATCGAATCCGTCAGATTTCCTTCTGGTCCATCACCATCCCCTTGGGGTAGATGTTCGCGAGCTTGTCCGGATAGGTAATATCTGAGGAATAACCCTCTAGTGGGATGTTGTACTCCACGACTCATTTCCATCATATCCTTCATGATTTCCTTAACTGGCGCTTCTGGCACACCCATATAGACTGTACCAACTGTTACCATCAAGTAAAGTCGAGGAACAATGTTTCCAGCATATTGAACAAGCTCGTAAAGGTCGGCGAGATGATGAGTGGGATGGGAATCTTTGAGGTGAGAGGATAGGTGTCGCAAAGCATCAAACACTGCCATGTATAATTCATAGTACTGCTTCGGCCCTAAACTGCTCGTTCGAAGCTCGGAGACAAGTGTTGAACTACAAGTTTTAAAAGGGACAAATCAGCACAAGATCATTTTCATCTGGCGCATTCATTATAACCATTGCAACCACATAGATCAGCTTCAAATAACCCGATTCATTGACATACCTGCACTTCAAAGCATCCATAAGCTTCCCTGGACTTTCTAAACATCGTCGCATAAGTTGTGTTTGTTGACGGACAACATTCAAGGCATCTTCAAGGAGTCGTGCCTGATCCTCCACGACTTGAGGTGGAGAAGCCATTATGGCAGACTTTCAGGTACAGTTGCTTGCGCAGCAGAGATTATTCGTAGCCCAAGCAAATAACAATTCGTGAATGGTTGAGCGATTAATGTAGATATCAGATATTCGTATAGGATTCGAAGATTAACTGGTGACGACCAGTTTCCGGGGGAAGGAACGCTAATAAGCCTCCCAATGTACAATTGATTGACAAGGATTGCCCTTGTCCAATCATGTATTAACGGATGAAGAGTTTATCCGACTTCCGAAAAGCGTCACCAGTCTTGGACGGAATTCCAGATTTGATAAGATAATGTAACAGTTACCTATACTCTGTGATATAAAGGTTCAATCTTCAAGATGGAATATAAACCTGGGTAGGATAATGGAGCGTTGTTATTGGTCAAATGTACAGCTGTATTATACATATTATCCCCTGTCAAGAAATTCTATCACACCCCGAGAGCAATAGAAAGTAGATTTTAACATGTGAATAGCTGATATCAATTACTAGGTATCTTCATTATCAATTATCTAAGACTTTCGACATCTTATACAACACCACCATGTCTCTTCGTGTCCCTCGTGTCATCAACAATATAAAAGGCTTGCCAGCTCTTGGCGCCATATGATTCCTTAACTCCAAATAAATATTATCAACCCAAGATGTATACATGAATACAGAACCAAGCACATTTTCCGCGCCGCTAGTTTGGATCACAAACTTGATTCTCAACTTAACGATCTTATTCCATCACTTGCTGAATTTCAGACAAGCAACGTGGTTTCAAGATGAAATTCTCCTCATAGAAGGAATTTCCCCTGCGTGTAGCATCACTCCAAAACTAGGTAGTGGCCGAGCGTTCGATGTAACGACTCAAAATTTGCTCAATTTCTAGGTATAGCTGTCGTGGAATTCCAAGAGGGATAACTAGTGAGCGAGTACCCACTATCATAGGAAGTAGTAGTAGCTGAAGGGGAAGCTGTAATAGCAGACCAACTCGATAGTATTCCTGTGTATGAAGAAACCCACGTGGAAGGTGGAGTAGTTGTGGGGAGTGATGTGAATGAAGTTTCTCCGGTGAATGTGCTTGA